ACAATAATAGAGTTTTCCATTAAAGAGGCAAATAGGAGTGTTATTAGGCAGCCTGAGATGATGAGCTTTAAGGATTCTTTAATCCTTTCTCCTCAATCTTCTTCACATCACATTAGCAAAAGGAATTATTCTCTGTTTTTCTTCTTCTTCATTATATCAAGTTTTGGCCTTTTGTTTCTCGGTTTTTCAATTGCATCTTCAATATAATTGTACTTTACATTTGACGTCGCTTTTTCTATGTTAAGACATTTAAATCATTATAGATTCAAAATCAGAGTTAACTAGTGCTAAAGAGAATTGAAAGCTACATAGGTTAATATTTGTTTAAGCAAGTGTTTTCACACTAAACTTTTGTTGTCAAACGTGATGTAAACAACTTGACAAAAATTGGATCAACTCAACTCAACACAACAATGACATTCGTTCGATATAATATGGAACCATCAAACTGAAGATGGAGTGTAGAATACATGCAACCGTACATTACTATTTTGAATTATTTTGAAATTAATTGTGAACTGAAATCTATTTTCATACGCATACCACCATCTACATTACTGTCTCTAAATCTAAAATCATATGCCACATATACACATATATTGATTGACCTGACTACTAACTCAACACTTATTGATTCCTTGTTGATATGTAAGGGTCATCATCTTTTGAGTTATTCTAAATAACATGTATAGGGGTAGCAACTTATGTAATAATGAAAACATAATTATACATTTATTTTTTAGATTTAAATTTTGTTTATGGAGACAAAACAAATAAAAAAATAGTTGGGAGAAGAAGATAGTAATAATTATTAATGGAAAATAAATAAATTAATAAAGGCGTCGGTGTGAAGGTGATGATAAAAAAACAAACGCGTGAGTGTGATATATAGAATAGAAGAAAGAAAGGAACACACTAACACATTGAAATCAGGTGGAGTTTGTCGTTGAACTTGTGGGGGGTGGTACACTTGACACTACAGCTCACGTACACCCAGCTCATTAACCAAAACCAAAGCAAAATATACCATTTGAAAATTCAACATTATGGATCAAAATATTATAGATCAACCTTGTTCCA